AAATTAATAAAAAGTATGCCAAATAGAATAGAAAAGTGTATTAGTAGGAATGCGTCGCCCACAAGTTATTAAAGATGAAAATATTGTAATAAAAAAAAATTTTTTTTTGAGTGCCCGGATAATTTCTTCAGGGGAGTGTATATAATATAAGAATTATTAATAATATTATTATAAATCTTAGATAAGAGATAAACTAATACAAAAAATATAAAGATCATAAGAGAAAATAAATTTTTAAAGAAATCATTTAATTACCTATATTTATGATTTAATATGGGACCTGCTATTCTTTTTCTTTGAATATATATATTTTCTTGTTCGCGTTTTCATTTTTGGACAAGGCCGGCATTTTCTACTAATTTGCAATAATGTGAATGACAAAGCTGTCCTCCGACTTCAAGATAAGGATATAGTTGTAATGTTCGATTTTTAAGACATTTTTCATATGCAAGTTCTGTTATTACACGAAATCTGACATTAGTGTCTATACAATTAATAATAGAACATAGTCCAAAATGTTTGGTTTTCATTTTGTAAGAATATTTCTTTATTTTACGCGTCGCTAAATTCGCTATAGTAGTATTAATCTTATATCAATCTATATAAGCGATCTTAGTATAAAAATATCAGCCAATCATCTTAATGAAAATGGATCAATAGTGATAGCCAATAAAAGAGAACTTCAGTCATGCTGATTTGAACATGATTTTAAATAACGAACAAATTTAATAAGAATTATACCTGATATAAATCAAGATTTCCAAAATGATGTATTAAAATGTGTTCGAATAAATAGGGTAATTGAAAAATCTAATTTTAATATCAATTGTTTTTGATGGGTTTAGAAACCCATCGAAACTTTCACAATTTGCCTTTTAAAAAAAAAAAATTATCAAAAATACAAAACTAGTTTTGATTTTTCCACCTGTCGAAACTTCAGATTTTACCAGGTAAACTTTACATCGTTGACGAACTTTCGTTGAAGTTGCTTAGTATGGAAGAGTAAGTGAACTTTACTAAAGAATATCAAAATGATTTTTTTCTTTAGTATTATTGTTGTTCTAATTCTTTTTAGGTGGGGTTGCTAAAAGAGCCGTATGAA